ATATATATATATATATATATATATATATATATATATATAATATTATATTATATATTTATATATTATTACAAAACTGGCAGATAGTTTTTCTTTTGCCCCAATGAAACTAAATATCTAAAAATTTCTTTAGAAACAAATATTCTCGATTTTAAGATTTTAATATTTGTACTTCGAATGCGATAAACTTAGTACTAAATGCATTTTTGCAGTGCACATGACTGAAGTATTCAAACATCACCTGTGCTTTAAAATGGGAGAGGAGAAACTGGATTTAGCGAAGAAAAAAACAACAAAAAAAAACCTTGTTCTGACCAGGTTAGAGTCACAGAAAGTTACGGGGGTAACTGTGTAAGTTTCTCTTGTTTTTGAAATGGCTTGACTTGCTTTCTCGAATTTTACACTTTCCATTCTGAAACAAACAAAAAAACTAATTTTTGGGAAGGGTATAAACAGAGGTTGGAGCCAGCTCCAAATGGGTGGGACTTGAACTCCAAGTGTGCTGTTTAAAACTAGTTTTTATCTATTTAATGTCTTGAACATGACAAAGTCCATTATTGTGCTTTCTGAATGTCTACACGATTGGTCTTAAACTCAATTCCTGGAGGGCCGCAGCTCTGAATAGTTTAGCTCCACCCACCTCCAACTCATACCTGCTTAATAGTCTATAGTAGTTTCAAACACCTTGATTAGATGGATCAGCTGTTTTTGATTAGTGTCGGAGCAAAACTTTGCAGAGCAGCGGCCCTCCAGGAACCGAGTTTGATACCTATGGTCTACACCTACCCCAACCCTAAACCCAACTTCACATTGACTACATTTACATGAGCATCTGTAATCAAATTATTTGCATTAATCTGAAAAGACAATCATATGATTAAGATCATGCACTCAACGGATGTTGCTTTGCTCAAGTTGGGGAAGGGACAGAGCTTTCGGGTGCTGATGTTTGATTTTATTTTGGTTTGTGAAAGCAAAATTCTCCAGTGATTATACCGCCTCCTGATGCTGAATGTGGTTATACTCATGGCAGGTATTATTTGGTAGTATGGTCATTTATTTCACTAATTTGGCAATCGTCAAATGTCATCTGGGAAACAGGTTGAATTTCCGCTTAGACAAAAAATCCCATCAGTGTTTCGTTTGGGACGACACTAAATTCATAAGACTATGCTGTTGAGTGTGAAAGTACATAGTGTGCCATTTGGGTTGCAGCTCAGCATTTGCTTTGTTTCAAACAATTCTCCACTTTGAATGAATCATTGAGTGAATGATTCAAATGAATCACTCATTAAGACAGGGCTGTGCCACCACCTGCTATCGGTTGTAATATCATTAGAGATGCTCAGATCGATTGGCCAGAGATCAGTAGATGATCACATTTCACAACTCGACCGGTACTCGTAGATCTGGCCGATCTTATGAACCAATCGCCAGTGTTTGTTTACGAGTTTACAAGCAGAGAAAGATGCATGTGCGCACCCGGGTTATGCATCAGCAGCGCTACAACACATGAGCAACATTTCCAAATTGCATTGTTAATCATATTTCTTACCATTTCTGTTTTATAAATTTTTTTTTGTAAAACTGCATCTGACCATTACATGTGCAGTGCATCCGGAAAGTATTCATAGAGCTTCACTTTTTCTGTATTTCTTTTTGTTACAGCCTGATTTCAAAATGGATAAAATTAATTTATTTCCCTAAAATTCTACACACAATACCCCATAATGACAATGTGAAAAAAGCTTTTTGAAATTGTTGCAAATTTATTCAACAAAAATCCTTAAAAATCACCTGTACTTAAGTATTCACAGCATTTGCTTAATACTTTGTTGATGCACCTTTGGCAGCAATTACAGCCTCAAGTCTTTTTGAATATGATGCCACAAGCTTGGCACACCTGTCTTTGGGAATTTTTGCCCATTCCTCTTTGCAGTACCTCTTAAGCTCTATCAGGTTGGATGGAAAGTGACTGTGTACAGCCATTTTCAGATCTCTCCAGAGGTATTCAATAGGATTTAGGGTCTGGGCTCTGGTTGGGACACTCAAGGACATTCACAGAGTTGTGTTGTGTGCTTTGGGTTATTGTCCTGCAGGAAGACAATCTGTCGCCCCAGTCTGGGGTCAAGAGTACTCTGAAGCAGGCTTTTATTCAGGATGTCTCTGTACATTGCTGCATTCATCTTTCCCTCTATCCTGACTAGTCTTCCAGTTCCTGCTTCTGAAAAACATCCCCACAGCATGATGCTGCCACCACCATGCTTCACTATAGTGATGGTTTTAGCCTGGTGAAGAGCAGTGCCTGGTTTTCTTTAAACATAACACATGGCATTCACTCCAAAGAATACAATTTTAGTTTCATCAGACGAGAGAATTTAGTTTCTTATGGTCTGAGTCTCCTTCAGATGCCTTTTGGCAAATTCCAAGTGGGAAGTGGCTCCTGTCAGCAGAGATTTATCTGTAACCTTCCCCAGCCTTGTGCCTAGAGACAATCCTGTCACAGAGGTCTACAGACAATTCCTTTGTCTTCATGCTTGGTTTTTGCTTTGACATGCACTGTCAAACCTGGGACCTTATTGACCTTATTCTAAAATGCGGAAGTGCGCCTGTTTTCGCGATTGTCTTTGAACTTCCGTTTCAGTCGCCTATGGGAGAAATGACAAGGAATAATAAACGGCAAAAAACGGTCAAACTACTTGCTCTTCCAACAAATGTTTGCATAACTATACAGACCAAGTAGAATAATATAACAAGGAAATATCAGTTTGCAACATCAAACAGCAAAACGAGCAGTTTTTAATGTCTAAAAATGAATGGAAGTGAATGAGACTGGAAGTCTCGTGCCAAAAAGGTTCAAATGGCAGCGCCCACTCGATCAACTGAAATCAACTGAATTGACCACAGATTAACTTCAATTAAGCTGCTAAAGAATGTAGAATCTCAAGAATGATCAGTGGAAACAGAATGTACCTGAGCTCAATCTGAAGCTTCATGGCAAAGGCTGTGAATACGGACGGGTGTTTTTTTTTTTTTAATTTGCAACAATTTAAAAAAAAAAAATCTTTTTTCACATTGTCGTTATGGGGTATTGTGTGTAGAATTTTGAGGAAATAAACAAATTTAATCCATTTTGGAATAAAGTGGAAAAAGTAAAGCAAGCAATGGCAAAGTTATATAACGCATGAAACACCCTAAATATCATATTTATCCATGATAACACAATCTGCACAAGTGGAATATTTGTTATAGAAAGAAATCAAGAATGTTGATCATAGAATGTGGTAAATCTGGTACATCCCCGACTCTTTAACGACTCTTTTCTGCCATCTTATAATGGATGTTGACAAACACACTATGTTGAAGACATATGAAGCAGCCATCCCACCATTAGTTTATTCTATTGAAAAGTGCAATCAGTTTTACATACTGAGAGTGTGTGATTCTTGTCGTTCCCATTCAATGACTCTGCTCCGACTCTGCTCTCCTCCAGCAGAAAGCTTTAATTACAACAACTGTTCCTTCATATATAAACCATGCCTACATAACCTCAAAAACAATGTTTATTTCTTTTTTCTCCTTTACAGCAAGTTAATATTGTGTTTAAAATGTCTCTTCAGACTTCACATGGAACATGACATGAAGAACCAGAAATCAATTGTTTTTTTAAATTGGGAGGAATGAGGTTTAGAAAAAGGCTTTGCCACTTCTCAAACGTTTTTTTTTTTAGTTACATACTGTATTTACACAATGGAACATAAGAAAAATAAGAACAACAGCTTGGTCTAAGTGTGTCTGCACTTAGCAACCATGAAAAACATCGAGCAAAGTGTACAAGAACTTCACTTTGTACAGTATGTCTGCAGAGATTTAGCATGTGTGCCTAAATTGTGTCTTGACATTCACAATTTTGGTTCAGATCATGGATACAAAAATAAGCATGAGAGAATCGGCCGTCCAAGACAACGAATAGCCTTTCAACTCTTTAAAAAAAAAACCTGAAACAAATCATAATAAAAAAAGCTGATGACTATCTCCTCTATGAGCAGCACAAAGTCAACAAAGCACTTATTTTTGAGACCGTCCTACAAGATGCAAATGAACAAGGGTAGTGATGGGGGTCACCTAAAAAAAGACCAAGTGGAACTCTTATTAAAAACAAACAAACAGAATCGGATCATATAATTTGGTGAATAATCCATGCAATATCAGGCAAGATGTAACCAAATGTGCCACCCCAACCTTCAAATAAAGTAACAAACAAACCTTAAACCTTAGACTGTCCATAAAAGAAAGAAAAGACACCCTTTAATAAATCTGTACAACCAAAATACATTTGAGATCTACATCTACAGTTACATTATTAAGGTTATATACATGGCCACCCCCTCCATATATTATCTTTACCAGCAGACTTCATTCAAACCCAAACGACAACATAAGACTAAACTGGAAAAAAGGAAACATCACGTCACACAAGCCATAAAAACTATCTCAGATCGTCTCACTAAATTCTCCCGTGGATAGCGAACTGTATCTGATGTACCAAGCGACAGGACAGCACCCGCTAAAGCTAAACCTGGACGCTTCGCATCGTTTCGTATCAATTTATCTATGGAAAAAAAAAACGAAGAAATTAAATATTTTGGAATTTTAAACCACATTGTGTTTTTGGTGTGATTTGCAAGCGCGTAAAACGATACCACAACAATGGCGACTCTGTAATACAAAACAGACAAGCAAGAGGATGGACGTAAACCCCACTCTCCAAAATATTCTCATATAATAGAACAAAGGCTCTCAATACGCTTTGGCCTCTTCACTGAAGAGAGCTAGACCATTCCATCAATAAAGATCTGTTCAATGGTTGTTTTGGGTGGGATTGACTTTCTAAGAAATAAGAGCAATGCTGTGGTGTACTTTCTTTCCCCTTTTATCTGCCTGCGTTTCCTCTGGAGGGAAAAAAAAAAAAAAAATCAACGATTAAAAAAAAAAAGGGAAAAAAAATTAAAAGTCCTGTTTATTTAACCTCTCGGTTTACCCTTGTGTATGCATCATGCCGCAACGTTTAATTCATTGAGAAAATGGAAAACTAGATTTTGTACAAGATACCACAATCTCATCTTGCAAAATAAATGGAGACTTTGTGCCCGTTTCGATCGGGAGGAAGTGTCGGCTCTTCTGCTGCGTCTCTGCAGAGTTTTAGTCGATTTTCACATTTGTGTAGATCTTCCTCACAAAGGCACTTGTTCCCATGTAACCCACCGCTCCTGATAACGAAAAGGAGAGGTGTTGTGTTCATAACGCTGCATTCCCATGTAGGAGCATTTGATTTAAGAGGAGCTTTTCTTGTACTCACCACACATGATTCCCAGAGCAGTGCTGAACACAGCCATGTAGCCAAAGTAGAATGACGTCTGGAATAAGCCATACATCCTGGGGAAAAAATTCAGAAATCAATTAATGATATGTAGTTATAACTTATGTGGATAAATTCAGAATAAGATAAGACGGGTATATATTTTGCACTGTCAGTGTAAAAAAAAACTTGTCACTTGTCAGTTCACTTGGCACTCATCCGAGACAAAGTCCAATCTAAATAAATGGGTGAATCCTGAAATCTCAAAAACTGCTTGCAGAAGTCACGGTTCAATTACATATATCAAATCAGCAGCAGAATCTGAAGTAATCTGAAGTGGTTGTTGCTTGAGCCCTACTTGTGTTTAAAAATGTACTTTGCCAGAGCTACTGCAGGTATGCAAAGATCAGTGAGACACCAATCTCCTTTAAGACTGTTTCAATGGTAATCAGAAAATGCAGTTACAAACTCATTGCAAAGACAACCGGACGACATGCGTCAAACGCAGACACATATACTGTAGGCTACATTCCAGTCCAATTTATTATGCCCTTCAATGTACATCATTAATAACATTAAACATGTGCCCACTACATTCAGAACAACATTCAAATTTCGCAATATAAAAAAAACATACATACAAAAACACGTATTTACTCCAGCACACCCACATAATTATAATTACATCATTCTTAATTCATTTGGCCTGCAGTGCTTGCCAACAACATGAAGCCTGTTAGCAAAGAATGTATGACTTTTTGCCATTTTAATGGGTTTTATTTTTTCTCTTGAAGTTCCCAAGTATATATTTATTTTGTACTTAGTGTAAAATTGATGAATGTAAATATATGAAGTCAAATAAATAAAAATATTTCAGCAAAAACTAAGCTATTTGCATTAGACAAAATAAGGATCCAGACGGGTTAATATAGGAAGTTTTTAACATCTTGTAAGTGTGTGTGTGTTTGTGTGTGTGTGTCTGTGTATACAAGGAGCAAACATCTTTTTTTTTTTTAAACTTTTGATAAAAGGAATTTACACAAGTTGAGAGACTTAGGATAAATAAATTAGTGTTTTTAAAATGTAAAGCATTCATATATATAACAACATTAGTAAACAAAACAAACTCACTTTGTTTTGAAGAAATAGTAGTAGAAGGAGTACATGTAAACATAAACTGCTGTTGACGCTGCAGAGAGAAAGCTTGTCCACTGCCTGAATGACACAAAAATGAAAATAACATTAATCATACATTACTGTCATGATGTCATCTGGCTATGATGCACATGTCTCAACAACACATTTTAAACGCCCCTGTGGTCTGATTCCAAATCCCCTTGGAAGGAAAGATGTAGAAACTAAATTAAAATGCACGAGCAAAACAACATTTCCAAAGACAATACGCCTTTACCATCTGTAGTCTTCTGCATTGAGAAGGAAGTAGGTGCAGACAATGGTGACGCAGACAGTAACGATGCACAGGATCACCAGCACCAGCATCATAAATCCATACACATAGTAAATCTTGTAGGCCCAGAAAGATGTGAAAATGAAGTACCTAAAGGGAGACATGAGGCGCTTTTTAATCTTACAGATATTTCAGACATATATATACATACATGTATATATATATATATATACATATATATATATATATATATATACATATATATATATATATATATATATATATATATATATATATATATATATATATATCCAGAACAAGTCTGCAGACTTACATTTCAATGAATATCGAGCCGAATGGAAGGATGCCACCTAAACACACGATAACTGCTGGCTCCATAAACCTGTCAATCAGAGAAAGATTGATTTGTTAGGCTTTAACTATCAATTTCTGCATTTATAAAGTATTTATATTCAGATCACTTCTTTGAGCATTAGGTAATTATGCTCAGAATTTTTTTTTTTAAAAACCTGGACAAACATAAAAGCCAATAATCATGCAACACTACACAGAGTCACATTGAATTGTTTGGTACAAGACTTTTGGTTCGGTGCGCAAGTACTTTCCAAAAATCCAGCTGTGTACATCTGAGAAAGCTTCTGCAGTGTTGTGTTGAACTAGCTATACTTGTGTGTGTGTGTGTTCTTAAATAATTAATAATCATAATTCCATAAAAAATAAATACAATATTCTGGTCAAACTTTAATTTGATGATCTGTTTGTTGAATTTAAGTTACATTGCATCTACGTGCCAATTAACTCTCATTAGATTATAAGTAGACTGTTAGGTTGGAGTTAGGGTTAGTGCAAGTTGACATACTTGCAAAGTTTCTTATAGTCAGTTAAATGTCTGTTGAAGGAGCATATCGACACATTAAGCAGACAGTCTACTAATACTCAAATGGACCATCAAAATAAAGTGTTACCATCATTCATTATATAAATTTGATATTGGCCACACAATTTAAGATTTTTTTACATTTTTGTTTTATCAGTTTAAATGTTTAGCAGTTTAATGGGGTATATGCCGAAGCATGCTAATAGGACTTTTAATTTGCCAGTAACCTGGGTTAAGCGCTTCCGGCGTAGTGAATGCCAATGCAAAATCCGGTGCGTTTAAGGTCTGTTTTCTTTAAAAATCAGCGATCTCCACAAGTTGAGTGATATCCGATTTAAAGTGGGTCTCAGATTGTACAAGAAGCACTGCATTAAATTACATTTCCCCCGCCATATCTTTATAATATGAGCATTTATTTTACCCCAGTATATTCAATGGAGCTTCTGCGTTAGCCTGCTGATTCTGACGGGCGCGTGCGAGTAAACAGCTTTTTGCCTCGTTTTACGCTTGAGCAACTAAATAAATGCTAAAGTTTATTTAACTGAATGTATTTTAATGACATTACAACATCGATGCTGTATAAGGAACCGTATAAAATGGTAAAAAGTTCACAATAACAGGTCACCAGAAGTGTATCAGCATGGGAACTGCACTAGCTCGGCATATACCCTATTGTGACTTCGGTATTTAATATGTTTATACTTTGTACCTCAATGTCAGGACAGATCCACACAACGCTGCTAGATGGCAACACTTAATTCGGTTAATGGTCTTGTGTCAACAGAATATAACTTCCCCTGTTATTTAGTTGACTCTTTATTCCACCCTGATAAATAAACTACTAGTGAGTCAACAATTCGAACTGTAAAAATATTAAGTACAGTTGAATTGAGTAGCCTAATATACTTTAACATTCCACCCTCAAAAAAATAATCAAACACCGTTAGTAAGAGTACATCACTTTCCTTCGGCTTAGTCGGTTTTCAATAGCCTAGTTTTAATTATTTATAAAATATATCTTTATAAATTTGTAGTATCATCTAACCTTGACACTTTCAGGTATTATATTTGTGGTGCTAGGTTATAGCACTGGATTAATGAAGACATAAGGACAGATGATAAGCAGAGAATAATAACAAATGTGAGTCCTGCAGCTGTATTTGTTGTGTACATAGAGCGCATGTGGTCGTGACATGCAAATGTGAGTGCGGAAAAAGTTCACAGCCGTGCACGCAAAGCGATTTCATAGTCTTGCATATTGTTAGCGACTTAGTCACATTATAGGACTGCACAATTTCGTTATGTTATATACACAGTAGCCAAACAATTACATCCCTGAAAGACGTCTGGAATGAAGCGGGTCATCTGCTTTGATGACGAGGGAGACACACATCGAAGTAAACTGTGGATTTTGTCAATCATTACACCCCTAAAAGACAACTAAGCAGGTTTTAGGCAATCTGTGAAGTGTATATACCATTTCTTTTCTGGGATGGGTCTGGGTACAGCATTGACTCTACAAGGAAAGTTGGGCTGTCCGGAGAGGTTTCTGCCCAGGATCGTCCCCACCAGGTTCAGAGGTAGAATTACAAATAAGCAGATGCAGCACACCGCAACCTAATCAAACAAATGAGAAACATCACATTTCAACAAATACATTGCATACAGTACTGTGCAGAGCTATACACACTTTAAATAGCTCCTATTATGCTTAGTCAGATATTAAATTAATTTTTGTGTGCAACCGAGCCGTCAGTTAACTTTAAAAGGGCAGTATCAATTTATAGATTAAAGTACATCATAAATTGGTCAACTGTCTGAAACAAGTCAGTCATTTCAACCCTCCTGTACAAACCCATTTACGTTTGTAACTTTTGATTTTATGATATGAAAGCAAATCCACTTTTGCTTGCATTTACAAAGAACAAGGGCTTGCACATCCCACACCAAATTTATGATTTATAAAAATACAAACTTAACAGGAGAATGTGCGCATATAAGTAAACTATTAGTAAACATATCTGCCTTAAATATTCACTTGAAATCATAAGAGCATAGTCAGTATTAAACAAAAATAATTACTTATTCTGACATCACTTGTAGGAAGGTTTCTATGCAAAGTTTTATAAAGGAGTCCCCAGGGCTGGGTAAGTAGATCATAAAATTAATTGTATGTCTGGCCTTAGGGTGCTTTCATACCTACACTTTTGTTTCGGAACCTGTCTCGTTTGCCCAGTTAGCGCGGTTTGATTGGCATATGTGAAACCAGCAATTGCGATTGGATCCGCGCCAAAACAATCGCTCCAAGATCGCTTGAATGAGATGGTCTCGGCTCGATTGAAACAAACTCTGGAGCGGATCGATTGAAGTGAGAAAACAAAATGATCCGCGCCTGGTTATATCAGTGTTTTATGGATATGTAATAGGCATACGGCTATCGCTTTGGATAAAAGCGTCTGCTAAATGACTAAATGTAAATGTAAACTAATATGAAGAAAGAATTATGAGTAGTGCGGGAGATCATTCAACAGACATCCCGGAAGTTTCGGTAGTCTCCCACAAATGCACAGACACTACAGGATGCCCGCAAACAAGTGATAATCTCCGTTACACAAAAGCTGAAAACCTGGAACCATTCACTTCCATAGTAGGAAAAACAAGGACTATAGAAGGCAATGGTTACAGGTTTACACAGCTTCTTTTGTGTTCAACAGAGGAAAGTCAAACCAGTAAAGGGTGAGTAAGTAACCCCAGAATTGTAATTTTTGGGTGAACTATCCCTTTAAGTAGCACTTGAACATCCTCTTAAGGCTGATTTATAATTCTGCGTCAAACGCCGGCGTATGCTACGGCGCTGACGCATAGCCCTTCGCCGTGGCCATCGCTGATGTGCACCTCTCAAAATATGTAACTACACGTCGCAACGACGCATAGCGCAAGCTCTGTGATTGGTCAGCTTGGTAGCGCTGACGAGTCTGGGCGGGACCGAGAGCCGCGTGAATGGCGCGACCCCGAAGAAGCGAGTGTTTACAAGTGTGGAGTCCCGTGAAAGAGTTCCGGATAGAAAGTTTTATTTTGTGTTTACCTCAGTTAAAGTTGTTGCACGTCTGCCGGTTCCTGCCTCAAAATGAGCGAGTTTGAGCCACTAGTACATCCCGGAAGTGTTCAGGAAAAGCAAAAAAAGCAGCGAAGAAACTCGACACAGAAGAACATTTACACCTCACTGCCAACTAGCGTTTCGGAAGTGTTAATGCAGAACAACAGAGACAGCGCGCAGAAGAATAAATGCACAGCCACACACGTTGCATGCGCCATGGGTTACACCGGGCACTTGATGCAGAAGTATAAATCAGGCTTAAGTCGTTAAAGCCCTATGTGTTTGAAGAGAGGGTTATAAGGTCACCTGCAGGACAACCATCAGATTACACCTTTAACTTTATTCAGGTGTAGTGTGATTATAAATAAAGGATTTGATTGTATTTCTATTGAACACTTTATTACTCTTTTAATATAATTATTATATCAACTAAGTAATTAAAAGAGCAGGGTTGGAAAAGAAATACACATCTTACATTGAAAACAAAAATGGTAAAAAAGATTGTTCAAACATTTTGCCAGTGCCTCAACCTGTCAGTAGGTGCTTAATTTAATTTTGATTGCTAATACACCTGAAATGACGATTAAAGGTTAAACGTTTGGATGCGACTCCATTTAGGTTATATTTCAGCACTTCCCAAATGGACAGCGACTCCCGTGTAGAACCTTTTTTAGATGTTTATGAAACAAACGAATAATTGCAATGAGCATTCGTAAACCTGGCACATAGAGAATGCTAGAACAGAGAAAAGAGACGCTTCAGCAGTGTTTATCATTAGAATATTTGAGCGTTGTATTTTTTATTTATTTTTTGTCAGGATGGATTTAAACATAATCAGAGCAGTCAATGCAAAATGAGGAACTTTCAATTGCATAATACAGGTATTTAAACCATGGTGTAAATGACTTCCAAAAGGACTATGAACTATAAAACACCACTAGCATGCAACAAACAAATCAAACTGTCCACATTAACATTAAGATTTAAACTAAATGACTCTTTCCCAACTCACCATAGTGCCGAATGGGATTGCTCTTGAGGCATGGTAGTAGATGGCGATGAAGTTGATGAAGAACGCTGTACCACACACCATTGCAGGAATCAGGAAGGCTCCAATGAACATCTGCTTTATCCATCTCCTCCCTGCAAAAAAAAAAACAAATAAAAAAAAAATAGCAGGTAAAGAAACAACAGGATACTTTCATCCCTAACATTTGACTGGATTGACTGGAACAGCTTCAAAGGGCTCATTTAAAGGATATTAATATTAAGAATGTCTCTGCTTCAGCACTTGAGATTAATTAGTTTTAACATTATATAGTATGTTAAATGATGAAATTGTAATAAATAGAAGCAAAAAAGCATTTAACCTGCCAGACTACTAACTTGTGTATGTAAAAGCGAAAGAATTCAAATGAAAAATCATTTGGAGGAAATTAATTGGGATTATCAGTTTAATCATTATGCAGCATAAATAAAACTAGTGAGTAATATATAAATAACACCATCTGACATATTAAAAAATTGATAGTACTTTGATTTGAATCTAGATTCTATCTGGACCTAAATATAACTAGCTACATATTTACTAACTCATTGTAAATATATTTGGAGCTTTCCTTTAAGCAGATGTTACATGTTTTAGTTTGCATACCTCCTTGTTTTGCATATAGGCTTCCACCAAAGTAGCCATTGACTGGAGACGTGGCAGCATAAACAAATATGGCTGTACTCAACATGGACCCTCTCCTACAAAAGCATGAGATTTTATTAATGAAACCAATATTATCAAGAACATTTTTCAACAGATTGTTTTTATCCCTTACAGTCCCTATTTCCATATTTCCAAATGTTTATTGCGGCTACACATTATTTCATTTTTAATTCAGCCCTGTAAATGATAATTAAATAATACAAGGGTATAGCTAGTTCATTTAGAATTGTCCTATTAATCATAGGTGAAACTTACTCTGTATACAAGTCCTCAATCATGGCCAAAATGATGACTATAAGGGAAACTGAAAAAATTTGACAGCCAGAGCCAATGAGGGAGGAGAAGATCAGCGGGTGACTGGATGGCCTGAACACATCCCCGTGAACCTGCTTCCAGCCATATTCATCACCAAGATCACGATCCTGATAGAGAGATTTAAAAGAAAAAAAAGAAGTAGAAGAAAACAGAATACAGGTTAAATTCAGAGAGATTTCAACCCTGGAAAGAAAAATTTAGGATTAAATTACAGAGCTGTAAACATTGTGAGGTTGTAAATCAACATGGATACAACAAATTATGGGTGGTAGGTGTGACCGAAATTCTAGAGATGCTCTGATCGATCAACTGAAGATTGGCATCAGCCGATAATCACATTTAATGACTCGATCGAAACTCGCCAATCAGGCCGATTTTATGAACAAATAACAGGTATTCGTTTAGGATTTTACAAGCAGAGGAAGACACACATGCACTTTTTATATCATCAATTTTACATCAATTTTTATATCTGTGTTATGTTATTTTCTGTAAAGCTGCTTCTGGCCATAATATGTTTACACCTAAATGGTAAAAAGAAATGTGTTAAAGGGATTATATGCAACATCCTTAATTTATTCACTAAGGTAAGGCAAGATCTCCACTTAAGTGTCATACTTGGATGGAAAATGTGATTTGAGGCATTATAAAGCTTGAAGCATTAAAACTGGTACTCAGTATCGGCCGTTCACCACGACAAAGTATCGGTGCTCTGTATCAGCTGCAAAAATCCTGATCGGAGCATCTCTACTAAATTCTATTTCACTGTATGGGTAATTTTATTTCTGAGAATTTATATATTTCACCATATATTTTTTCCAAAAAAATCTATGAAAAATGTAATAAATAAACATAAATACTTCAATAATTTTAAGGATTTCACATTTTTCGTTTATTTGGACACTTGTTAAATATAGTAGGAATGGGCAATATAGGATTTTAATGATTTTTCAAACTCCTTCAAGCTAAGCTAATGCTTATATCTTTTTTTGTTTGTGCGTTTTTGAGAAGTATTCATTTACAGGTTAACTTAAAGATTTTATTCCCCAGTCAGCTTCTCTCAATGAATTAAAATCAGACTTGTGACTTTATGACTCCAAGTAAGGCTTTGTTCGTTGATAGAAGACAATTTTTCTTTAATTTTTTATTAGTGTAACACTGCAACTCCCCCGAGTAAATATATATATTTACTGTAGCGCTATACAAGTGAATATTTAATTTGATGAGGGATACTGTACACAGAGTTATTCTGTCCTCACATTCGAAGTTGGTAAAACAATTAATTTAAAAATCATAGATAAAATTTTCATCTCAGATTGTTGACCTGATTTTACTACAAGCGCTCCATTCAGCACTTCCTATTGTGTGATATTTTGTTCAGACAGACTCCTTTAGTTTGGCAGACTCCCTTATTTACATACACATAATTAAAACTACTACTGGTCTATTATTACCAATGTGTCAGAAAAAAAAAGCTGAAAGGATTTTTAAAAACAGATTTGTTTCAGAATACAAAAAATGTTCACCATGTCATCCATTTCCTCCTCTTTGCTGTATCTGGCATAGTCTTTCCTTAATGTTCTCATCAGGATCATTGAAACAAGGCCCACCAGGAAAATCACCATCATGAATGAGTTGAATATTGAGAACCAGTGAATCTGTTATGTGCATAAATCACACACACACAAATGGATTTAATATACAATTCAGAACGTTTTATATTCCCTTAGAAAGAAATAGCAAAACATTTTTTAAGACTTACTCTGTGTTGAAAGAAAGATGGATCAAGGTATTTGTCAAATCTATCCTCAAATTTCACATCAGATTTCTTCCACTTGACCTGTGGGGATGATCACAAATAATTTAATATCACATGTGCATGAGAAAGAGGCTAACGGTGTCAAGAAGCACTGATGCATTTCACACAATATTAAGCTTTCATATTCATTTTATAGTTCAATTTACCCATTATTAGCACAGAATTGCATGTTTATGAAGGTCAGGAAAACTTCACTCACAGAGTATGACATGGGAATTCTCGTGTTTGGAACAAGCTTGACCTTGCCCTCACTGGTCAGGTTAACATCCACAATTCTGTTCCCATTATGTCCAATCTCCAGCTTTTTGTAAGTCCAAAGGTAATAGTCCTCTCCATTCTCATCAGCTTCACCAACAATTCCTTTTAAAAAATTATAATAATTAAATGAAGGCAAAATGCTTATTCTTAAATCACTAAAATTTGTATAAATAAACAAGCAAATAAAGTTTAAAATATAATGAAATCTTTTAAACTCACTGATAGCTTTCTCAGCCTCAAAAATAACCACTATCACAACCTCATGCTTTACAAAGCAGTCAAATCATAACAAATACATCTGGCATACATTATTTTGTTTAAATATTGTTTCGCCTACTTTATTACAATACACATAATGAATAAATTGCAAAAGGCAAGTAAAACCATTAAAAATCAAGTAAAAACATTTTCAATTTGTCAAGAAAAAAACTATGTATAAGGATTATATTTTAAATGAAGGATCAAAACTAAGACTGAGAAAAAAAAAGAACCAAAAATATATTTCATTAGAATAATATATTAATAACTATTTGTCAAAATGTTCCATGGAAAAAAAAACATATTCTAAATACTTCAATAAAATCAGTTTTTCCTTCCAGGCACTGAAAGCTGTACTTTTTGTGTTTTAGGTAAAGATTAAAAATGCGTTATCTGAGGTACAAGAGCATTAAAAAAACAGTCAGTTGATGGTAAGCTTCCAAAACATTCACTCATAATGGAACTTTTCAAAATAATTTTTGTGCCAGTGGCTACACCATCATGACTGTTGACTTGAGTCACTCAGGCAGGGAATGGACATGCTCAGGGCATTTGCTGCTAAGCTGACATAACCATATCCTGACTGACTGGGAGGAAACACTCATTGGTCTGATGGAGGATGGGTTGGTCTGATGGAGGATGGGTTGGAACAGGGTAAGAAATTTTACAAATTATAAATACCATGAGCTTAAATTATGACTGAAGTTTGAAAAAAATAATATTCAATTCCTCCATTACAAAGATTGTTAAAGCTACATCAGTATCAAATGTTGAATGCCTTGTTAAACTTAATGGCATGAAGGGTCTTGTTTATGAATGGTTTTATTCACCTAAGGCTGGATGGGTTTTACACTGATCAAGTTCACGTTTAGTTTAAGCAAACTGAGTTTTTGGGCTCAAGAATGTGGGTTGGTTTAAATCGGGTATGTTGCTATGGTAACTTGCCTGTCTGTTTGCTTAACGTCACAATTTCAGCTGAATGCAGTCCAAAGGCAAATCACAAACTCTGGGTTAAAACCCCTGAGTTAACAGAGAAGCTACATTAAGCATCAGGAAACTACTTAACCTGATCTTAAACAGGCTGTACAGGCCGTACAAGCTAGGAAACAGTGCACAAACTAATGCAGCTTCTTTCAAACCTTCTCTTTGGATTTTTAAAAACACTTCTTTTATTCACAGTGATGCTCCTCACAGGGCATTTGTAATGACACATGGACACCATCTCAGAGCAACATCTCAGCATTGTCAAATGTAGCATAATGGAAAACAATACTCCTTAAACCTGGTTTATACTTCTGCGTCAAGTGACCCACGGCGCATGCAACGCGTGTAGCTGTGCATTTATACCTCTGCGCGCTGTTTCTGTTGGTCTGCAATAAACTTCCGAAAAGCTAGTTGGCAGTAGATGTTGATATTTCTCAGTGTCGAGTTCCTTCGCTGTTGTTTTGTTTTTTATGAACGCTTCCTTAAATGTACAAGTGGCTCAAATTCGCTAATTTTGAGGCAAGAACCGGCGGACGTGCAACAACTTTAATCATAAGGTCAACACAAAACAGCAGTCTCCATCCGGAGCTCCTTCACTGGAATCCACAGATTCGGCTCTCACCTCCGCACACATTCATCAGCGCTACCAAGTTGACCAATCACAGAGCTTGCGATACATTTTTTGAGAGGTGCACGTCAGTGACGCCGACGGCCACGGCGAGGGGCTATGCGTCGACACGTAGGCTGCGCCATAGCATACGCGTGCGCTTGACGCAGAAGTAGAAATCAGCCTTAAATCAGCCTTTAGATAGGTTCAATTGTGAGAACCATTCTGCAGATTTCCACTACATCCACCTCCAAAATTCTTTCTTGATCATTTCCAGGGCAGCCTATCAGGACATGACTTGGCAGGAAGCATTTGTGCATGAAGGTACCCTGCTATGCTGATTAAATAAGTACTTTGAAATAAATCAGTTTTGAAGACCAACATCAATAATGTCTTACTAGAAATGACATTCAAGTTGGGGAAAGTTGGCCAAAAGCACATTTAAACACAAACGAACCAAAACTGCAAGTTTCAGATGCCATCTTAATTTTTTAGCCAAGCTTTCACAACAAAGCAAAAAAAATGAGGGATATCAGACAGCAGAGGACAAAGCTATGCTTTCTTTAAAAATCTGATGAATGCATCTCTGTATAAATGTTGACACGATCATTGGATTCAGACGTGTCATGTTGCCTTCCTGTATTCATATGCTGCCTGAAGCATATTTCAGCTTTCAAATGCAGACTAGTAATCCTGACGGCCTTGATTAGCTGGTTCAGGTTTGTTTAATGATGACTGGAGCTCCAAGAACAGGTTTGGACACCCCTGAACTAAAAACATACTGATCAACACGTCCATTAGGACTTTAAAAATTGTGTCAACTGCATTTTCAGCCAAGGCAAAAGTACAATAGAAAGTCTCTACATACAAGAACAATAGATAGCCGAAGATCAGGTTAATCTTTAAACATGATTAAAGTTGCAAACTGCTGGATTCCAAACATATATTAGTATCACCCACAAAGACCTCATCTAGTCCTTTTGCTGTCTAAAAAAAATTGTCCGAAGATATTTTGTAATTTTGCCTGAAAATTACATTCTCCCATTCACAGCTACTCAATTTCAAACTGAGTTTAGTTAAAATAAAAACAATGAGCAAAAAATAAATAAAACCCCAAAAAGCTAACAAATGAAAAATCAAAAATGTTTATTTGCCAACGATCTGAAATTATCCAAGAAAAACATTCAAAGAATGCTAACAAAAATACATAAAAATAAAATGGAAAGTGAAAGTATAATAAAAGCCTATTACTTGATTAATTATCCTATTAGTAATATTCAAGGTAATATTCAAGCTCTGTTTCAGATTTAAACGGGTCCATTGTCAACAGGGTAAACATGCGGACCTTAACCAAAACATAAGTGAAATCTGCTTAAATTTGCAAAGCAACAGTAAACGTGACTGAATGTTTACTCGATAAAACCACACAAAACAAACAAAAAAAAACTTTAAAAGGTATCCACTGAAATAAACCAGAGCTTTGGCTTTGTACACTTAGAAAAGAACAGACTTGTCAATAACTCTGTGTTCGCAGTTACTCACCCCAGATGGGAAGGTCATCTATGTACATTTGGTACCAGTAGTGGTTCTTGATGGCATAGACAAATGCATCTCTTTTAGGTTTGTCTAGTTCAATGTCACAGTATGTCGTCTGCAACACCTCCTCTGCAAGACAAATCCACAATGCATTCACAAAAGCAATACTACTCTATTATGATAATATTTTACGAACCAAACTCAAATGAACAAGAAAATGGAATTTACATAGTCGCACTATTCAATGCTTATGGATGTCGATAAGCTTCGTTTGAACTGGTTAGCATGTTAGTGACATTAATGTGTGACCATACCTTTGAACTTGATGTCCAGACCGCTGAACTCCAATTCAACCCCCTGTAGCGCCTCTCCTAATGTCTCATGATAATGACTAATAGTTTTTTTCGTTCCCACACAGAACGGTAGGGAGAAGTACTTATAGGTCTCCTGTCGGTTGTGATAAGGGCCCACTGTATTCATCCATAAAACCACCTCTTCTTTATCTGTGTACTGTAGGAGAAAGAAACAGTCTTAGCATCCATTTCTAATATCAGAATCTACTTCTTTGTGATTATTATTCAACGTCAGATGTCACCATTTAAAAGAAACTAAATTTGTCTCCATTTTACTTCTGAACAATTCCCTGAAAAGAGCAAAATGTAATAATATCTGAACAAATTACGCACACACACAATGCCATCCAGGCTCAAACCCATTTTTGATTCAAGATGATAACATTTAGCTGGCAGGAAAGACATTTCATAATCGGGCCACTGATATAATGCACATTGATGTAATGCAACCAAATCCCAAACTAAATAACGATCAAATAAACTAATATGGCTTCTAGAAAAAAAAGCATCAAGTCATTTGTCCAATATTACATTTCATTTAGGATTTCATGACTATTCACACTTTAAAAGTTAACTCACTGTCATTCTAAACCCCATGGTACACAAAATATTGTGCAATCACCCTCTTATTTTAAACTGCTTATAATAAACCACAAGTTAACAATTAATCCTGGGTTTATTCAAACACCATCTATACACACTCTAACTCCTAAACTTTGAGTTAACGTCCTTATTTGTGGTAACAGTGTCATTCACTGGAGGAATGCAGCACTTTTGCTCTTCCTCATTGTATATTTTGGAGTTTTCAAAATATAAAAATAAGAATAAAACTCTTTTTCTTTCCAAATGACATATTGACATCACTATTTCACATTGTCCCTTTAAAAGCTGAAACATGCAGTTTTTGTTATGGTCCAAAAGCATGTAAATATGAGAGATGTGATTGGATACTAGCCATAACGTTCCAAACCAGCATCTTTTCGCACTCCAAATGTTTGGCACTGAATTGAGGGGTTTACTGTATGAAAGAGGTGTTAAATCTGCTCTAATTTTATATATTAGGAGAATAATGAATGACATCCTTCAAGGGTTATTATTAGTACTCTGTTGTATGTTTGAGAAATGTTATAACACATAATGAACTAAACAGAAGACAATAACAATGAAAGACAGACAATACATCACAATAGTTAACACCATTAACTGCTATAAATGAAATTTAATTTATTATGGAGTGGAATGGAGAATGGATGAATACTGAAAGTTATAATAATAAATAAAATAAAAATCTGCTATTAATTATACACTAATATAATTCATAATCATGCTGTTTCAACTTGTAAGACTGAGATTCTTCTGAGGAATACAAGAATGAATTTTCAAAGAATACTGACTGAATGACTGATTTCCATAGTATGGAGGCAAATAAAAGCCACTGAGAAATTACCCAAAATATCTTCTTTTTTTGTTTCCACCAAAAAAAAGAAAAAGAAAAAAAAAGAAAGCCCTTTAGATTTAGATTGTCAGTAAGGGTCAATAATTTATCACACTTTTTAGTGAACTATTTTTTAAATCCTTTGAATTAAAAATGACAAAAAATGCAGTAAGGCAGGCAGGGCTTGAACCTGTAATTCAGGTAGTGTTACATAAACCTACGTGTGTGTAGAGAACAATTATAACGAGTAACGCAACACTCGTATCACTGGATGCAATGGTCTAAATAAAATTAACATGAAAATAAGTGGAAGAGATCACAACTGCACGTCTGTATAAATGAAACCCTAAACACTGTCTCCCACACTCTGAAGCATTCACTTCACATCGACACTGGTTTGAACACAAAGGGACCCATTTGCCACTAGAAATACCTACACCTCTAGCGATGTGGGATGGCGTATATATGGCAACATAGCTGATTTTACGAACTATAATTCATCATTACAGATTACCAAAGAGATCATGGTAGAGTAAAAAAAAACTGTCATGGGGAAAGAGTGCAAACTGTAAATATTCTAAATCTAGAATTAAACTGTCATGTGCTGTACCGCTGATGGTTTTTATTTTTCGTTCAAAAAATTGAGAATACAACTGTAAATGTCTAAAATAAAGATTTGTTTGGTAAGAATCTTTAGGTCAGAACCACAGAAAGACATTATCTATGCTTCCCCCCAAAAATGCTAATTAACTTTTAAGCGATATTCCAGTTTTGCACATAAAGATGTGCTCATAAAGCAGTGTTTCCATCCAACAAGTCAAAGAGAACAAAATCATCACTTCCTGATTAACTGGAGCCAAATACCAACAGTAGAAATGCAATTTGCTGCGGTAGGAGAAGCTGCATGAATCTTTTCTTCATTTATTAAATGACTTGCGCCTCAGAAGACAGTATGCAGGCACAAAGGTGGCGTCTGAAGGTGTGATATTAACAATATAAAATACACGTACAGTGAAATGGTTAAGCGGTTTAAGAATGACCAAAACAACATATGAGATGTTTTACAATGTGCTCAGCCTGCTGGTTTGTCTATTCACACACATTTTTATCATCACATGATCTCTTACAACAAAATCACATGACCATTTAATTCGCCTACTGGAATTTATTTAATAAAAGGGTTTCCATTGTAGTTTAAGCACATCTTTTCTTATCTAATAAAAAGTTTATCCTACTCAGTTATGCACATTTTACAATTTAGGCACATCTTGCCGTTTCCATCAACCGTTTTAAAAATAGGAGGATGGAAACGTACAGTAGCTGCAGATTGACTTGTAAAAATATAGTCCAAGTAAAAGGCTTATTGTGTTCTGACACAGACTTAGAGAACTCGAAGTCACAATGAAACAAGTATTGTGTTTTCTTTCTTATTGTGATGTAGTTTACCAGATTACTGAAAAAGTACGAAAAATGAAAGTAATGATGCGTCGAAAACCTTAAATGTTTACACAACAACAGCAATCTGAAGACAAACTTTTGCAAACAAATTTGCTCTACTGTTTTTGATTTTGTAAAAACAATGATGTCACATGCACAAGTATTACGTTCAATCTACAGGCATGTCAAAAATGTTAAAAACAAAGAAACAATGTTAATTAGGGGATTTTAAGTAAGCAAGTATGTATTTTACTTATGTATTGTCAAAAGTAAAATCAACTACTGGCATGGCAGGTATAACGTTTTTAATGTTGTTTTTGCACATTCATCTCAACAGGGATAGTTTTAACAATCCTGTCATTGAAACACAAACACACAAAGAAATTACTTTTCCAGTTTTTGATGCCACCGGTAGCCATTTCACCCTGCAGCCCAAGACCAGTTACTCACTGAAGCTAAGCAGGGCTGAGCCTGGTTAGTACCTGGATGGAAGACCACTTGGGAAAACAAGGTGGCTGTTGGAACTGGTTAGTGAGGCCAGCCGGGGGCACTCAACCTGCAGTCTGTGTGAGTCCTAATGCCCCAGTAATACCACACTGTCAGTGGGCGCCGTCTTTCAGATGAGACGTTAAACCGAGGTCCTGACTCTCTGTGGTCTTTAAAAATCTCATGGCACTTCTCGTGAAAGTGCAGGGGTGTAACCCCGGTGTCCTGGCCAAAGTCCCTCTACCGGCCCTAATGATCATGGCCTCCCAATCTTCCCCATCCACCAAATTGGTTCTATCATTGTCTACCAATAGCTGGTGTGTGGTGAGCGCACTGGCGCCGTTGTCCTGTGGCAGCCGTCGCATCATCCAAGTGAATGCTGCACACTGGTGGTGGTGTGGAGAGACCCCCCCCTCCCTCATGATTGTGGAGCGTTTTGAGTGTATGGCCATACATTTTTGCTGTTTTCACCAGAAAAAAACTAAAAATGACATTTTGATAAAAACCATTATATTGATTTTTTTAAATTTAAATATTAAACATTAAATGCAGAACGTGTTCAAATTAACATATAAATCGATAGCATTTAGAAGAAAATAATTTATTTTGTCTATACAGACATACAATTCCCAAAGCAAACACTGTTATTGTGACTGTAAGACTGCACACTACAAATAAGATATACATGTGTTGTAGTGCCAAATTGATGAATCAATTGCTCTTTGATTGTAAAGGTACCCACCATTTTAAAATAACAATTATTGTTAGCTCAAATAAGTTGTTATGATTTACTTACACACAATTTAGTATTGTAAAATGCATAATAAACAACTTGTCATCAAGACAATACTGACATCCCATCACAGTATTTCTGAAGCAGCATTCCTGCAACCATAGCTGCTTTTAATTTACGTGTATATTGTTTCGCATTGAATAATTTTAATAAAAGTGTGGACGAACCGGATGTGTGTATGTACAGACGGACATATTTTAGCTAACGGCGGTTAGCCGACAGAAGAGTAACCTCATTCATACATACACAACTAAAACAAACAGTACACCAACACATCGAGAGGCTATGTTAAAATATTATTACACTTGATATGGTTCATGCAAAAATGACTGCGAACAGAGCCGCTGCTGTTTGCCAACATAATGTAATGAGATAGCTGATGCTAGGCTAGCCGCGTAGCTTCTGATGTGTTTAACGTAAGCATTTCTAACCTAGACACAGAGCAGTTAAATCAGTTAGCATGTCAGTTGTTATGAGTTTATTTCCGTTCTTTACTCTTGACACTGCAACCCGAACAATATCCAGCGTCTCTCGAGAATACACATACCGAACACAGGGCTTCTCGGCCCGCAGTTTATCTTACCTTGTGCTCGTGTTCATCTGCTCGAACTGGTATAAACGAACTAAAAACAGCCGTCAAGACAACCACTTCAAACGTCCACTTGCAGAGCCCCATGGTTTTCTAGGGAAAATTCTGCGACTGATTTGAAATGGTATCTTTTTGGGGGCTATCCCACCTTCCTTCTTCCTGGTTCTATGACAGTGGTTGTCTTAGGATGCTCACATACGAGTTTGTCGTAAAATTGTTCAGCGAGTGATCAGCGCGTACAACGCTGATTGGTAGGAAGAGGTCACATGAGTTATGTTGACCTATTGTTAGAGAGTGCGATGAGTCAACGATGAGGAATGAAACCCTCCGCTTCGCCACCCATGGCCACGTCATCTGAGCGCAAACAGAAGCGGTGGTGGGAAAGGCAGGCTGCTTAGCAGGATGTAAAAGCAGGACTGCTGAAGTGTTCATTGATAGGAACTTCAAACAATGAGTGAAAGGTAACGCCTAATCTGCTAACTTATCGAGAGTTTTAAACTGTAAGTAAAAGTTGAATTTGTCTTATAAAAATAATAGTTTAACATTATCCATAATTATGCCTCCAAGCATCATCAGAATTGTGAGGTGTTTAATAATCAAGTTGCCAAATAACTAATTAATTATTATTGTTACAGTTTTGTTTTCTTCTTGGTTCGTTGGTTGTGATTTAAAACTTGCAAATCAAACTCGTCCTAAAAATATTTATAGTACTCCTAAAGAGCTTGAAAGCAAAAACATTTGCATGTTTATGGTCTGTTAATGGTTAAATTTGTTTTATTATTTTAAAAATATCAATCACAATTTGAAATATAAGCTGCATTATATAAAATTTTAAAATAACACGCACATACTAGTACTGGGATGAATCCCTGTTTGCATTCAGAACTGCTTTATTCCTTCATGGCATAGATTCAACAAGTTACTGGAAATATTCCAAAGAGATTTTGGTCCAAATTGACGTGATAGTATCACACAGTTGCAGATTTGTCAGCTGCACATCCATGATGCGAATCTCCCGTTCCACCACATCCCAAAGGCGCTCTATTGGATTGAGGTCTGGCGATTGTGAAGGCCAAAATTTATTTGAGTCCACTAAATTGTCATTGTCATGTTCAAGAAACCAGTCTGAGATGATTCACATATTATCCTGCTGGAGGTAGCTATCAGAAGATGGGTACACTGTGGTCATAAAGGGATGGACATGGTCAGCAACAATACTCAGACTCGACCATTCAAATGTCGCAGCAGAAATCGAGACCAGAAAACGTTTTTCCAATCTTCAATTGTCCAATTTGGGTGAGCCTGTGCGAATTGTAGCATCAGTTTCCTGTTCTTACCTGACAGGAGTGGCACTCGGTGTGGTCTTCTGCTGCTGTAGCCCAACCGCCTCAAGGTTCAACTTGTGAGTTCAGAGATGCTCTTCTGCACACCTCGGTTGTTACGAGTGGTTATTTGAGTTACTGTTGCCTTTCTATCAGCTTAAACCAGTCTAGCCATTCTCCTCTGACACCAATAAGGCATTTGTGCCCACAGAACTGCTGCTCACTGGATATTTTATCTTTTTCGGACCATCCTCTGTAAACTCTAGATATGGTTGTGCGTGAACATCCCAGTGGATCAGCAGTTTCTGAAATACTCAGGCCCCGTTTACACTAATGCGTTTTAGTTTGAAAACGCATAAGTTTTGCTACGGTTACGGCATCCGTCCACACTACGCCGGAGTTCTCGAGCGTCGAAAACGGAGCTTTTTGAAAATGCTGGAAAGGCCGTTTTCATTCTGAAACGCTGCTGCTCCGTCTCAGTGTGGATGGGGAAAGACGGAGACATCTGAAAACGGAGGCGGGGCTGCAAACGTTCGCCTATCTGATTGGGGCTTTTCCTCAATATTAAGTAGCCCACACACAGTTCAGTCTCGCATCCTCTTTTTGTAAGTTAAGACTTTGCAAGTTTGATCAAGGCTGCAGTCTCCCCCTTCTCAGTTTGATATGGAAAACATAACGAGGACACGGGTAAATCTTCAAAGGGAACAGTGTACTTTATAACTTCATTCACATCACCCTGGCTACGTTGTTTCACTTTCTCAACAATAAAATGTAAACATGATTTAAGGAACTGCCTATTTTCTTTTTAATATTAGAAAACTTAACAGACAGCAGAACTGTTGAGGTGTCGTGCTGCATATATGAGTGTCATCTTCACTGTGTGGATATTTATAACAAAACGGAGCCGATAACAACTGCCTCCTTTCAATTTCAGTGAAAATACGAAACGCACCCTCTCTTTTGCTGAATATCAGTTTTAATAATCGATAATTATAAAAGTATAACATACAATAAGTTTATACATTGTAGGAAATAAAGGCAAGCGATCAGTCAATGTACCTGGATTAATCATTAACTTATCTTTGCGCTTAACCAAAACATGTTACCAGTGAACAAGTAACTTAATAGATTCCAATGACCAAAGTCAGGGAATTTGCCTATGTCGTTAGATAAAGACAACAACATGAATGAAATATCACGTTCAGCAAATATAGTGAGATTAGATCCAGCGGGAGATGCTTGATGAGCAGTCCGACAAGCAGAGCTCTCATCTGGGTAGAAATGCTGGAGCGCTTGCCCGAGAGTGTCTGTGTGGTCACGTGATGTGCGTTTTCAGCGTTTTGGTGTGGACGAAGAGCTGTTCAGAAACGCTGGGTAAAACGCGAGTGTGGACGCGGATCGTTTTCATTCTACAACGCCGTTTTAAAACTAAAATGCACTAGTGTAAACGGGGCCTCAGACCAGCCCATCTGGCACCAACAACCATGCCACATTCAAAGTCACTTAAATTACCTTTCATCCCCATTCTGATGCTCGTTTTGACCATGTCTACATGCCCAAATGTATTGAGTTGCTGCCATGTGATTGGCTGATTCAAAATTTGCATTAACGAGCAGTTGGACAGGTTTATCTAATAAAGTGGCCGATGAGTGTATTTTTGCAGTTCAAATGTGCTGACAATGCAGACTTGTATAAAGCTAGATTGTATCTGATTTTGTTTCATTTCTTGGCCATAAGAGAGAAAAAAAACTTTTTCAAGAAACAATACAGCTTATTCTATGATTTGCAAAAAAAAAAATTCGTTCAATCTCAAAAAAACGTAATCTTAGTAACAATAATAGTAACAATAAATCCACGCTAATGGAAGTAGTTTCATAAAATGTTAATGTTTATTAATGTAGTTAAAAAGAACTGTAAGTTTACAGTTACAACACCAGCGATAACAAAAAACTGTTTGAGGTAGCTGATTACTACTTGTAAATCATCCTCTTCTTACACCGTCTCATGCTGTTAGTGACTGCACAAACTCCCTGTAAAATAAAAACAGACATTGATTTTGCAGCCGTTATCTGATATTTCACTGTCATTAGGGATGCTGAACATTTGAAATGGGTAACTATTCAAAGGTAACTAATCATTTCACTGGTTATCGATTTGTTACCAAACAACATTGTAATTCCTGTATAACTTATTTGAAATCTTATAATTAGTAATAATGAGATGAATTTTTTAGAATGTCATCACCTTACGATATTTGGCAAAGCAGGGTCTCTATAAAGCCCATTATGAAGGTATCCATACTTTCCATCAAATGGCACCAGCTTGACTCGTTCATCTGAGTTCTGAGCCTTTTTTGCAATTCTGTAAATCTGAGTTAGAAAATAAACGCATCATTTATGGTTGACTTAAAAATAAACAATATACTGTAAATTAATCTTCCAAACCTCCTGAGCCACACTCATGGGCACTATATGGTCATCTTCGGAGTGGAGAATCATAATCGGAGATCTGATTTTTTCCAAACTATCAACATCAACAAAAGGGGAAAGTGAGAAGAGAGATTTGTTTTATAATACAATTTTATAATATTAAATATTTATTAATATTTATTATTATAGGTTAACAAGGTTATTTACAGGTTAACAATGTCACATACTTTTTATCAGTTGGAAAATCTAGATTGTTGTTTTTCATTGGATTGAAGAGGAAATACTGAATATACGGGAACTTCCAATAATACTGGAGGAAAGAAAAAAAGGTACAAATAAAATATGGATGCACCAGGATATAATTCTGATTAGATGTGCACATCTTCCTCTGCTTAAAAAAAGTGAGGGCATATCTAGAATTTGTTTGCAGCATGACAATTTTACCTTAACTATTGGTTTTACTTCGGATATAACTTTTTAGTTTAAAGTAAAAAAAAAATCTAGAATCACTATGTATTGCTTTTATTAGCTCTTTTGTTCATTCAGTAATTTTCTTTTAAGCTTAGACCCTTTATAAACTGGGGTAACCACAGCGGAACCGCCTAGCCCTACTGTGAAATTTTACATTTTTTACAAATATTTCTATGGTGACAGTACATAATTTTGTTTATTACTATGGCCTACTTTTATTCTACTTACTATACTTGGTACTCAGCTTAAGCCTGATTTATACTTGATGGATGGTCCAGCTTAGCCTTTGCAGTCACTTCATCGTGGCTGAAACCAAACCTGATGCACAATTTACAGATTTAAGTAGATTATGATAATTAGACAATTTATGATAATTATGTGAGTGATGCTCTGTAGACGATCTAAAAAAAATTACAGGACGAATAATATTTTGTTATTGTTTTGTTATAAAACTATAATAAAAAATATGTAAAAAAAATTTAACTGCTTTTATTCCAATGAAACTGAAAGAAATAAGACTTTCTTTAAACGAAAATTTTTTTTATGATGTACTCTGAAAATTGTCTTTAAACATCAGAGGAAGTCTAAAAATTTTGATTTCAATACACACTAAAAATTATATTTGCTCTTTGTTCAAACTACTTATTTAAAATGAGCTAAAACAACACACTTTAGGAGGATTTTTTGGGACAACTTAATTGTTTATGTTCGATCAACTTAAATTTGTAAAAACTATTAAGTTAACTTATTTTCCTCATTTTGTTCCAACACAAATTAATTGTGTGCAACCCAACATTTTTTACAGTATAGTGGTACTAGAGTTTTTTTGTGTTTGTTTTAACTGATATAGAACCAACAACCAAACCATGGATTTATTTAAACTTAATAATAACACCATAGAGGGCGGCATGATGGCTCAGTGGTAAGCACTGTTGCCTCACAGCAAGAAGTTCGTAGGTTCGAGTGTTTCTGTATGGAGTTTGCATGTGTTCACGTGGGTTTCCTCAGGGTGCTCCGGTTTCCCCCCACAGTCCAGAGACATGCACCATTGGTGAATTGGATAAGCTAAACTGTCCGTAGTGTATGAGTGCGAATAAGTGTGTTGCGGCTATAATACAACTTATCCATATGCTGGATAAGTTGGCGGTTCATTCCGTTGTGGTGACCCTTGATGAATAAAGGGACTAAGCGTAAAGAAAATGAATCAAATAATTAAAACAACCATACAGACATATTCTGCATCTCAGATAGAGAATGAATCTCATTCTGTTTAACAATTACAACGGTATAAATGAATGTAGCCATGGCACTTGGGGCTCTATTTTCACAGTCTATGCGCAAAACGAAAAGCGCAGGGTGCAAACGCTTTCAGGGCGTGTCAGAATCCATATTTGCTCATTTAAGGACGGGAAAATCCGCTTTGCGCCGTGGCGCATGGTCTAAAAGGGTTGAGTTTATTTTCTTAATGAGTTATAGGTGTGTTTTGAGGATAAACCAATCAGAGTCTCATCTCCCATTCCCTTTAAGAGCCAGCTGCGTTGCGCCATAAGCGCATTTGCTATTAACATGGCGTAAAGTAAGTGGAAGTGAAAAAAACTGAGCATTTCACAAGCAAACAGTTAATTTAACAGAAAACAGTTAAACAGAGCATCTACCGCGCAAGAATGAGAGATAATCGATCTACTTTCACGTTCGCTCTTGGATAGGGAAATTTTTACGCACTGACATCAATTAGCCTATAAATAATTAATTTTGTTTGTTAAGCGCAAATATTCGTTTCAAAACTATTTCTAAATTCAGTTCTAATTTCCAGCAAAGGAATAAATGAACAATAATAATGAAGTGTGTTCAAAAACCTGAGTTATATCCTAAAACACATGCTGTGCCCTATATAGTCTAAAACCTGCAGGTGGGCAAATCTAAGCTTGTTTTTAATAAAACAAATATAAATATGGATATAATAAATAATACTGCTAATAATAATAACATTATACAAAAGCAAATTGATTATGAATGAACTAAAAAAGCCTCCCGAGATGAAGAAGGCAAAAAACAGTGTTTTTTCATATTTATGTAGACTAGAAAATAATATGTTTTGTAATATTTTAATCCTTTATATTTATATACTATATATATTCTTATTATATCCTATATATAGGCCTATCCTTAATATTTAAATTTTTCATATGTAAAGATATTTGCGTATTGCTCTACATCTTGTGTGTAGGCTATTAAGCAGTGTGTGAGCGAGGCGCAACTCTGCGCTGGAGTTTAGACCGGCTTTGTTTTGGTCTAATGAAAAATCTATTTTAGTTTCTCAAAATAGCAACGGGCCAGCAGTGCGCCTCAGAACACCTTCCTTTTTAGATTAGAACGCCTATGGGCGCACATATGAGCGCAAATGCATTTGCTATTTAAAGAGTGCGGCGCAACGCCTTAAAACGACTCTTGCGCCAAGCTGAAACTAGCAAATAATTATTGCGCCACGCCTTGCGCCACATTGCACCGGGTGTATGATAGGGCTCTTGGTCTGTTGTCTTGAACATGAATAGAAATTTTAATATTAAAAAAAATCATTGAACTGATTAGTTCTGACTGGGTGAATAGTTTAGTTTTTTTTTTTTGAGAATATCCAAAAATCACGTCAGGGTGGGAACTGAATCCAACAAATGCATATTTATCTCAAATCCTTGTCTGTAATACACATGGTTTAGTAATTATGAGCAATTTTAGGATTTTGATCATTGTAGCACTACTATCAAGCTGACACTGTGACACTGTAGATATGGTGGGTTCAACCATAAGTTGATCCTGATTGCTACTTACCCAGGTAAAAGGGTGTTCAAAGACTTGATCAGCTGCCATTCGCCCGCTTAGGAATGCGCCCTCCAGTATTATTCCGTCAAACTTTTTTCCTGTCAGGAAATGTGCAGTTTATCCTTACAGTCAAGAAATACATTTAAAGAAATAAAAAAAGCAAAACAACAACTTTGAAGAGCCACATAGATAAGCAAGATTATAAAATAAAGTCTGTCACATTCTGACCTTGCTCCAGTAATTTAACTGCAGTGTTAGTAGTTACACTATTGAAAAAGAAACATACAGCAGTTAAATTACATTATAAAGAAATACATAATATGTTTAGTTTGCAATCATATTACGTGTTCTCAATTGTTTCTAATAATTTTGAAGGAAATAGATGGGCAATTCTACCTACCCACTACCAAGGGAGTGACCCCACACACACAGCAGGCTGTTTCCACTGCGCTTCTTAATCCAGTTATACAAGTATAGAGCATCAGTAGTCAGTCCAGGCTCTGTGGGTTCACCAGTCGAGTCCCCAAAACCTGACAAAGTTTAATATACTGGAGTAAACAAATATAGAAATATTGACTTTGAGTTGAGTTTCCAGTGGTTGTGGGCTTCAGTCACCTCTGTAGTCCATCACCAAGGCATGATATCCAAGAGCACTTAGGATCTGAATAGCCAAATCATCTCAGTTATTACATTTGTTCATGTTCTTCGTCTTTCTTCATAATGAAATAAATGAGTTTACTCACATTTGCAACTCCAATACGATGAGGTGCAGATCTGAAGGGACACAAAATAAGTTAAGCAAATTGCAAAATGCTTAGCTTGTAAGTCGGTTGGTTAAAGATCTGTTTTCAATGTGAGGTCTGTGATCCATAAATAGAAGGACCACAAAACTAGGCCCCTAGAATTTCCATAGACTTAATAGCAGAATCCAGTAATACACAATGGCATTTACTGTATAATGCAGAATGTCACAGAATTTGGCAAACGTAGGGCTTTTGATTTAATCAAGTCTCAAAACTGGTGTAAATAATAAAGCAGTATGGATTCTGCTCATTCTAATTGTTTTATTTGTAAAATAAGATGTATTTCTCTTCATAATATAATAAAACTATTTTTGAAAAGAATAATCACAATTTTTCTTCCATGTTTTAAATCAACTTTTTATTAATTTTTAAAATAATTTATCTAATTATAATGTTTTTATAGGGTGACGCGTTAGCGAAGTAGTGCTGTTGCCTCATAGGAAGAAGGTCGCTGGTTCAAGCCTCAACTGGGTCCAATGGCATGTTTTCCCCGTGTAATGTGGGTTTCCACTGGGTGCTCCAGCTTGCCCCACAAGTCCAAAAAGATGTGGTACAGGTGAATTGGATAAGCTAAATTGGCCGTAGTGCATGTGTGTGAATGAGTGTGTCTGGATGTTTCCCAGTGATGGGTTGCAGCTGGAAGGGCAGCTCGGCTGGGTCAGTTGGTATTTGTGAATTGGGTAAGCTAAAAAGTGAATGACTGTGAATGAATTGTATAGATGTTTACCAGTGGGTTGCAGCTGGAAGGGCATCCGCTGCCTAACATATGCTGGATAAGTTGGTGGTTCATTCCGCTGTGGTGACCCCAGATTAATAAAGGGAATAAGCTGTCCATAGGTGAATTGGGTAGGCTTAGGCTAAATTGTCGGTAGTGAGGCGACAGCACTACCCACTCTGCCACCGCCCTGCCCCCAAAATTAAATTGTCATTTTAAAAATAAAGTTTTCAATAAAATAGTGATATTGAGAACAATATTGAGAAAAAGAAAATTGATTTAATGGGATCTTAAAATGTATAAATTAAATTGTTGATCAATTGTAAAGGTTTTAATTTTAATTATTTTTAAGTGCTTTTTGATCACTACAAGTGTTAAAACTAATATTAAATAAATTACTATTAAAACAATAAAACATACTGGAAAAAACTTGCAGTTTTAGTTTGGCTTCACTTGACTGATATTTGGTTAATTGGTGAAGTTGTAAAAAGATTGAGATTTAGAGATTAGCTGCAGTTGCCCATCCCAGTTTGTCTAATAAAGGTAAAGACAAAGAAACACAAAGTTCAGCGAACAAGATCACTGATCAATGCAACAAAGAAAATATGAATAAATAAAAAATACAGTACACAAAATCATTTATTGAAGTCTTAGCATAAAAAGTGATCTCAAATGTTGATAATTAATGCGAATTAAGTTACTTGCCTGTTGCCTGTATTGCCATGAAGGTACATGAAAATTGGTGATCCGTCCCCTAGAGCCTTCTCATACCACTCTACGTTCTTACCCTGCGCCTCCTTCCACCTATGTTCAGGTACAGTATGCCTACAAACCATTCATAAGAAATAAAGAAGGAAATAAAAAAAGAAAGAAGAAAAGAAAACCTCAGTATTTGTCATTGATTCGTTTTATAGTTTAGTTTTATAGTTATAGTTTAGTTTTTAAAGCATATGGATGACATAAACTAACCACACGCCCACCCTCACACCCTCCTCAGTTTTCAGATAGAAATTTATAGTATGATTAAGACCCAAATCTGAAGGTCGGCTGAGGTCATCAATGTCTGGAAAAACACACAAAATAAACGAGATTAGGAAAAATTGACAAACTGTACACTCTCAGAAGTAAAGGTTCGCAAGCTGTCACATGGGGTGGTACCTTAAAGGTCCATATTAAAACCTTAAGGGTACATATTGGTACCCGAAAAGTACAAAAGTGTTCCTCTTTAAACTTTAGGTACTAATACATACATTTGAGGTACCACACTGTAAAAAATAAATCTGTCAAATTTACGGTAAAAAAACGGCAGCTGTGGTTGGCAGTATTTCACAGTTAAAACACGGTACAAACCGTAAAAGTCATTTCTCATTTTTACAGTAAATTACTGTATTTCATTAATTTATAGAGGTAATATGTCTGTATTTTGAATTATGAACATCTACACATTTTTTGTTACAAAGATAGACACGTTAACACAGCCATATGCAGTTGGTGATGAGAAAGTTACATAATGAACCAATGCTCATCACAAAAAACTTTTCCCACAAGCAGAAAAGAGTTTCAGTGTAAAGAAGGTGCTCAGTGTCATTCACGCAACTAATAAATACCAGTATGGCAACACGCATATAATTAAAGTCATGAAATAAACATTGTTCATCAATATTGAATTCAACAAAAATCTCTAATGTACATAACTGATGGTGAAACAACTAAAAAGATCCATAGTGATGTCAACAAAAAGTATAAAAAGTGAAGTGCCATGCAGCGACTTCTGGGAAAGTCAGTTTACGGTTATTTGCTGTATTTATTAAGGAAACATCCTGTTAACCAGGTAATGGATTTTTACTGTAGCATTTTGACTGTTTTTTTTTTTTACTGTTGAAATCACAGCCATTTTTTACAGTGCAGTATGGACCCTTTAAGTACACGTGTACCTTTTGAAAAGGTACCACCCCAGTGATAGCATGCGTACCTTTATTTCTGAGAGTAGAGAAGTCAACACCACATCAATATTTGGCTAAAAACATTTGCATACCAGAGAAGACATGCAGAAGAAATGGGATTGTTGCACCAAGTATGAGGAGAGATACAAGTCCTATTTTCGCCCATGACCACTGAGAGCTACAGAGAGGAATGCGAACACAAACACGTCAATAGTGTTGATTTTTGGCACATGGTTTAGTCTCCAAGATACAGTGCATTCAGGAAAATGCAAAATATGTGATTTAGTCTTTAAAGGTTTTTCCCCTATTGAATTTCATTAAATGAACATAGGATAATCTTAGCTATAGCTTTCATTGAAGATTTAACATAAAACAACAAATTACAAGTAATATTTATGGTGCATGTATGCTTTTCTCATTTCACCACATTGTTTGCTCACTTTTGGTGCATTACACTCATAGACATTTGCTAATTTAGTTTCTGTTTACTTTATGCAGATATCTAGTCAAACTAAAATTGTTATTTACACTGATTTAATATTAATAAGTTGTTTAAAGTGGCTTACCTTGCATGCACATGTTTAGGCCTAGGTGATGGGCTTGATTGTTGATGTCTTGCAGCTTGAAATTTTCTTTCAGATTTATCGACTCTTCGCCTCATTTTGAGGAGTGAACAAAACTGAACCTATTTACTTTACAAAACGTCTGCAATAATTGACAACCCGGGCTAACACGGAAGTGGATGGGTGTAAAGATCAAAGTGCATAGACTTAACCTTTGTGCACCATGTGCAGGCTTTTGCAGTTTTATTTCCACATGAGATTTTGCTTTGCTTCCTATGCATGAGATTTGCCCCAAGCATGTACTGGTTTTGCGTCTCATTTCTGACCAATGATGAAAATGAATAGATGATTTAATCAGTCACAATTTGACCACACACAATCTATACAGCAAAGTACAGTACATCAAAAATAAAGTTTGATGTAATATTTAATTAATTCATTTATTTAGAAATGAAGAATATTTACAAGCTCATATTCCAGCAAAATTTTGAGAAAACAATGCATCTATACTCCTATACTTCTGTTAAAAGATTTTGAAGCCTTCCCTGCATTATTCGTGCTGCGAAACGGGTGATAGATAGTTTGGTGTCAGTTAGAGTAAAATAATAGGTTTTGACAGTTCCTTAAGCTTCTGCTGTATGTAAACATCTCTGGTTAAATCATAGTAGGCCTACATTTAGAAAACCAGCAGTCTAAACAAACAACAGTACATGAATAATGTAAATATTATTATGTAAATTAAACATTACTTCATTATGAATAATGTTGAGTTAAGGCATGAGCTAATCCAGCCTGATCTCACGTTAAAACGTAAGTATTTTCAACACAATCTCACGGCAATTCATATTTTTTTGGATTTAGTGGCTAATTCGTATGATCTAATTCATACAATTTAGTACGATTTGCTCATTCCCCAATAACGGTTGGGTTTAGGGGTGGGGTTAGGTGCCACGCCTTCTTTTTAAAATCGTACAATTTCGTACAACTGAACTCGAATACGAATTTCTACGAATTAGCCACTAAACGGGCAAAACGTAAAATACCAGCCTGATCTCTCGAGAAAACGTAAGTATTTTACGTTTTGCCAGTTTAACGTTAATTTGTGCGATTATGTTGGCTAATCACAAAAGAACTTTCTACAACATGAGTCAATGGAGTTGTGTGTGAATAATGGAAACCTTAATTATTTGTTTGTTTGTTAATGAAAATTAACTTTTTAGTTTAAAAAAATTACTTATGACATGTGATGGTATGTTTGTCATGACTTGAGGGGAACATTATCATTAAGCAAACAAAAAACAAAAATGTGCGCACATCTAAAAATCTCGAAGCCAGGTGCTCAATCAAAAACAAACAGTAGCAAAATATCAAAAGAAAATCAGCACTCTGCCACTTTAGCTCTCAAAAGTTCTTTAAAATCTCTCACTTTTTTTTAGCTCTCAAAAGTTCTTTAATATCACTCACAACATTTCGAACTACAGGTCTTCATCAGATAAAACAATACAAATAGGAGGACTCAAGAAATAGTGATACAGTTCTACACATCACACCTGCAATCAATCACTACAATCAGCCAACAAGCCAGTAAACAAGCACATATACATACAACAATATACTCATGACAATATGAGATACATACATACCATTACAAAAAGATTTAAAATACAAATTTTAACTTCCTCGGATATTAGTGATATTAAAAGACTTTTGAGAGCTAAAGTGGCAGTGTGCCGATTTTCTTTTGATCTTCTGCAACATTACTCATTCTTAACTGTGAACTGTTTAAGCATAACTGTTACATGCACGTCTGTCTAGTGTATGTTTATATTAAGAAAACATTATAAAAATATTCTGTCTACAAAATGAACAGTTTAAAATGTAAGAGTTCTTGTGTAGCTAAGAATGAGGTAATGTTAAAGAGCCCGTATTATGGGTTTTTGAAAATGCCCTTCCATGTAGTGTATAACACAGATCTAAGTGAAGTGAAATATCCAGCTAAGGCTTAAATCTGTAAGTGTACAGTGTTTAAAACTGTTGATTCATCTATAAAAGAGTCGACTCAGTGCTTCAAACGAGTCGACTTGATAACGAGTCATTAGGTGTTTCGCCATGACGTGACAACGAAACCAAGATATTCACGCGCACGCGCAAACCCGCAAAAAGAGCAGAGTGTGACAAGCTAGGAGATCTGCTCGCCAGTTCTTGGAGTTTTTGCTCAATAAAATAGTTAGTCGTCTGTATTTTCAAGTCCATTGTCTGTATTTACATTCACCCACTGGCAGCTAAAATCCACGCCTTACACTATCGAGCGTGTATGCTCTGTGACTACTTTTATAATGTTGATTAGCTGCTGGGCATTTGACTCCGTCTCTCGCTGAAGGCAGTCAGTGTCAACCATCATCGGACCAATCAGCGCAGATTAGCTTCGCGCTAAGGAGGGGTTTGGGAACAAATGAATCACTGGACAATTAATATGGGAGTCACTGGGATAATTAGGTAAAAATAAATGCAGATTATAAGACAATGAAAGTCTTTTTGACCTTGCATGCATATTAGACTGTTGTTGGAGACCCTTACAACCAAAATATGACCCTATTTCATGTATAATATGGGCTCTTTAATATGCCCCACCAAGTAAAGTGAGTAGTTGTAAAGTAACATTTAGTTTACATATCAGTACATCATTATTCGTGTTTAAAATACTGGTATTTTTAAGTGTTTCCCACATGAGTACATTTAAATGTGCTCGAGCTCTAGATTTAAAATACTTTAATATAGGCTACCTGTCCGTTTTCTATTCACTAACGTTTAACATAAAGCACAACAGCACTAAATATGACTTTGTATTGCACTGAGAATTTAGCAAATTTGACTTGGGAGACGACTAAGTTTGCCTCAAAATCTATTGCCTAAAAATTTGTACACTTCTGTATATAATAACTGATAAATAACCTGTAATAACATTGATTGAACACATACACATGTCCAAATTATACAACGTATGTCTGTCACAGAGATACTTTAAAAACCAAGAAAAACAGCAAAGGTATATAATGATGATGGTGAGGATGATTCTGATGACATGTGAGTCTTCATGCAAGTCTTCAGCAAGTAGTACAGATGATCTTAAGGTTTGTAAAATAGTTTCTATTCAATCCCAAAAGAAGCGAATGTAAAAGATAGTAACACAATAAATTCACCCTACTGAGTCATCTTATTAGATTTCAAAGATTAAAATGTTTTTATCTAAGCAATGAATGTGTTTTAAAACTATTGCAAACTTATTTACAACACCAACTATAATAAAAAGCAGTTTGCAGTAGCTGAATATTATTTATATTATGATATGAAAACATCCTCCTCCCACATTGTGCCTCATGCCGTCAGTGACTGCACAAACTCCCTGGAAAATAAAACAGACATTCATTTTGCAGCTATTATATATTATTTTACTGCCATTTAGTGATGTACTGAACAATTTAACAATATTATAACATATATTTATAAGTAACTAATTACTTTTCTCTGGTTATGGATTTGTTACCAAAGCTAGTGTATTTCCTATAAAAATGTAAATGTTATGATCAGTAATAATCAGATTAATTTGTTATCACCTTAACATATTTGGCAAACGATGATCTCTATAAAGCCCATTATGAAGATATCCATGTTTTCCATCAAATAGCACCAGCTTGACTCGTTCATCTGAGTTCTGAGCCTTTTTTGCAATTCTGTAAATCTGAGCCCCCCAAACAAGCATTTAAAGATTAAAATAAATAAATCAATTTTAACAAAAAACAGTAAATTAATCTTCCAAACCTCCTGAGCCACACTGAAGGGTGACACATGGTCGTCTTTGGAATGGAGAATTAAAATCGGAGTTCTGATTTTTTCCAAACTATCAACAACAAAAAGGGGAAAAGGTTTATGAGAGGTTTATATTTTGAAATAGGATTTTATAATGTTAAATATTTTATAATATGATATACAAAGTTTTTTTAAAATCATAAATTCAATAAATACAATTATTTTAGTAAAACAATATCAAGTACTTTTCATCCAATGGAAAGACTATTTTGTTGTTTTTCAGTGGATTGAAGAGGAAGAACTGAATATATGGGAACTTCCAATAAAACTGAAGGAAAGAAAAAAACAGGTACAAATAAGATACACATGTGTACCAGATTATAATTTCGAACAATATAAACTGATCTTACATACTGATCATCAAATTACAGACATACATTGTTACGTACATTTTATTTTGTAATGTTGTGATGTTCAAATGCAAATTTTTAAAATAATGCAAAAAAAAAAAAATAAAAATATTGTTGGAAACAGAAAGTAACAGTGTTCAAGTGCTTTAAAACCTTTAAGCACATACATTTATATTTATTATATCTTATATAATTTGGTACAATGCACTTATCATGTACATACAGTTTACATTGTACTTATGCTTTAAAATTGTCTGCATGTAGTTTGCGGTAATACTGAAAAAATTGACACTATCTGGCAACCCTTCCTCTTACACTTTAAAAATAAAAATAATAAATAAATAAACATGTATATATGTATGTGTATATGTATGCAAGTATATTTTCCCTGCCCCTGGCATAGTTGTTGGGAGTGTTTTTATTTATTTTTATTTTATTATTATTATTTTTTAAAATATATTATTATTTTATTTTCTACTGCTGTACCCTTTGAGTATTTGTATTTATTTATTCTCTGTACTGTTGTTGTTCTTTTGTTGTTGTTTTTCCTTAATGCATGAATATGTAATTATATTGTTTATTTAGAGAGAAAGAAAATGTGAGCAAAATTGTGATGCTGTGGCTCTCTGACTAACATATTTCAATAAAAAACAGAGTTAAACTAAAATTGTCTGCATGTAATAACATCAGTAATTACACATATTGTTTCACTGTTGAGCCATCATGCATACCTTAACCCACCTTAAACCTACACATACCACCAAATCTGTCCCAAGCCTTACCCATATCCCATCTTAATAGCAAGATTAGTGTAGTGCGATACCTTATCGCATAACTACAATATACAGTAATTATAACAGCAGTTGAAGCCACTTAATATAAAATGTGACCATTGAATGAAATCAAAGATGTTTAAAACACATCAGATCAAA